AAAAAATAATTTTGGAGTATTGAAAGTCCGAAATGCCTTTTCTCTTTGTAGTTATATCATGCAGAAATAGTTTATTATGTAGTTATAATTAATCATTGTTTATATTTAAGCAAAAATTTGGTTCTTAAAATTATTTCTTTCTTTTCAAATATCTAAAATGTCTAACGAAACTTCTGTCTTTAATAATATCAGTGAACTTGATGCACCATCTGCTGATTTCGATAATGCTTCTAAAGTAGAATGCTATATTCGTAAAGCTTAATCAATTAAAATTAAAGAAAGAGAAAAAACACAAAAACCTAAAATTGATCCAATTACTAGTAAATGATATACAAATATTCCTATTGCAAAAACTTTGAATATAGATCCAGCACTAGTTAAAGAATGCAAAGTAATCTTATAAATCTGAATGACTTTTAGTAAATAATTTTATATAATAATAGTATTCTTTTATAATAGAAATACCTTTGTGACTTGCAACAAAATAGCATTTATTCAAAAAAAAGTAGCATTAAATATATTCTAAAAGAAATTCAAAAAGCATAGTTTAGAGAAGCTGCTAATGAATTTTCAGAGTTTTCCAATATGGCCAATAATTGAGTTTTTTATAAAATGCTTAGACAAACAATAAATTCAAAAGATATTATTATTATTATTATTTGTATAATAAAGATAATTTATTAATCATATATATTAATTTAAGTTGATTATTTTAGAAATAAGCTTAAACGACTAGCATATGCTACACAGAAGCGACCAAACAAACATATATAGGACTTTATTTCTGAGAATATTGATATTAATATTGGTAGTATTTATTGTTATTATTATTATGTTAATATATATTAAAATATAAAAAATAGATTACATATTAATATCGAATTAACAAGAAATAAATGATATACCAAATCAAGAAATAGATGATATATCTGATCAAAAAATAGATGATATGCCCAATCAAGAAGTTGATACATTAGTTCAAGAAATATATAATCTACAAAATGAAAATCCTATTAATGAATTACAAGAAATTCAAGAAATTGTTAATATAGAAACTAATAATAATGAAATATATGAAGACTTTGATGAAGGTTTAGAATATAATAAAGAAAATCGAAAATCTAAAAAAGATTAATCAAATATTTTTATTAAATGATAAATTAAATATTTTTTTTAGCATTTATATATATATTATTTAACAATAAATCTAATATATTAATGTATATCTGTTTATTTATATATTATATGTATATTTATAGCAAAAACTTTAGTTACTAACAATGGTGATAATGATCAGGGTCAAGAATCTAATAATAATAATTTAGAGTATACAAACAATGATTTAGAATCTACAAATGATCGATTGTTTAAAAATAATAGTAAATTTTAAAAATAAATATTTTTAATCATATAT